GTGGGGCTGAGCCGAGCTCAGCTCGCCCCTGTCCGGCCCCGGCGAGGCCCCGGCCTGCCGCTGGGCCCGACTAGTTTAACCGTGTATCCGAGCCAGTCCCGTCTGCAGGCGAAGGGGTTTTATTTCACGCAATCCAATTATATTACGTTTTTCGCGACGCGAAAGGATTGCGAGGGAGAAGGAAAGAGAGGGAGAGAGAGAGGGGGGCATATTTCTATTTCTACAATATGGGTTGGGATGTTCGGTGAGTGTGTGGCGTGTGTGTGGTTACACGGGTTGCACGCTAGTCTGCGGGGCTCCCTCTCCTGCTGCCCGCAGCTTGTCAACGCCACTGCGAAAAGAGAAGTAAAAGATATGAGAGGCAGACAGAGAGAGGGACTGACTTTTGGGGTCGGGTGGGATCAGCGGGTCGGGTGGGTCGGGTCGGGCTGTGTGACTGATTACAGTACAGGCCGGCGGCCGTGTGGCCCGGGCCGAGTCGTGCCGCGGCTGTCAAGCCTTCATAAATTCACACCCTGCACTCATTGCACTGCTGTGTGCAAAACAAATGAGGGGGAATAATGGTAATAATAATAATAAAGAAGGAAACCCCCGGCGTGTCGGTGGTACACATACGGCCGGGGTACCGAAAAGCGATTTGTGGGAACCGGTTTGCCCGAGACCGCGTGGCGGCGGCGGGGCGAAGGGGGTGCAGGGCCCGCCGGCCGGGGCTGTGCGTACTGCGCAGCGTTAATTATGGGGATCACTGATTCACTCAATGTTTTTCGAATTTCGGGGGACCTCATATCGTGAGCGGAGTGAAATGACTGCTGCTGACTGACTGGCCGTCTGCGCCGGTCGAGAGGAGAGAAGAGAGAGTGGGGGTAAAGGAAGGAAGCATATAGAGTAGAGAGTGGTGGCAACAGAAACTTTATTTTGTTTCACAAAACAAAAAGGACTCAATTGGAGAATAAAAATCTGCGGAGCAAGAATGTCTGGATCTTTTAAGGAACATCAAAAGAAGAATAGTTCGACAGCTTCAAAACTTGTACTTCAAATACAGCTAAACCCCATGCAGTCTGCAAACTGGCATGCACCAGTGCAAGTTTATTTTGTCTCGTTTTTTCGTCTTGCGTTTTGATTGGGGTAAATTTTCGTGTCGTATTGTACCGTCAGGGTTTTTAGATTGGTTTCTTTTAAAATTCGAAAATTTGAAGGGTCTCAAATAACGAGTTGTTAAAAACGTGTGCCTGCCTTCTTTTGAAATACGGGTACAGAAAACAGATATATGTACTGCCATGTGAGGGAAATGGCTATACACCAAGCGGACCTCTCGCGCCGCTCCCCCCC